AGCCGCTCCGCGCCAGGCGCTCCCTGCATCTTGCGAGCTGTGTATGGGCAAATCTTTCATTTTTCTTTCATTATCCCGGCATGTACTGTCACTTAATTTTTATGTATGCAATCCTTCCTGACAAATATGATCTGCTGCCTGGTAATTCGTCTGACGTTCATTCTGTTCCTTGCTCTAATTACGGCTCCCATTCCTGACACGGCGGCGGCCGCTGCCGCAGCCCGGTGGTACACCTGTCAGACGGGTCGTGGTACTGCCTAATGCCCTTTTATGCCAGTCTGATGCTAGCAAATACAACGAAAGAAAAAAAATTAGATGAATATATTTGCATAAGCCGTGCGTTCAATTCATGGGTCAGCAGCCAGAGAAATGATGGTTCAGGGCGGTTGCCAGGGCAACGCGGCGACGGGAATCGCCCGGCATCGCAGCCTGGGTCCACACGGGTACCACACTCTGGCTTGCAAGGGTGTACATCGCTCATAGCTACTTAAACAAATGTCTTAATTAAACCAAAACCAAGATCAGTACATTTCCTGCTGCTACAAAACCTATACATCTGGCAAATTGCAAAAAAAAAAAAAAAAAAAACCAACAAAAAGCGCTTCAAGTCTGTGTATTTTTTGACTGTTAACATGTTCTTTTTACTTGGATACAAGAACCACTGGAAACAGTGGTGCGTCCATCCCTCCCACAACACAACACACTGTCTCCAGTAGCACCCGCTGCTCCTCCCTTCGCGTTTTGCACCTTATTCACCTGTTTCCAGGATGCTGCTGATTTGAGGAAGGGCAAGGTTCGTGCAGAAGAGGCTTAACTCTTCCTACACGAGCTTTCTCAATTAGGAGAGAGCAACCCTGGTAAAGGTCACAAGCCTGGCTTACATGTGCAGCCAGTTCCCAAGCCCCAATTTATTCTTATTAATATAATAAGTGCAGCAGTCAAACCAGATAAGATCATATAATGAGACACGATCACATTTTCGCCTGTTCAGATGATGTGATTCTAACTAGACATGATCATATTTTCGCCTGTTCAGATGATGTGATTCTAACTTTCTGTGAAGAGGATTTATTTCAATCTATCGAGTATAATGTGTATATATCCTAGGATAGCTTTTGATGCAAAGCTTCAATCTATTAAGTATAACGCGTATATATCCTAGGATAGCTTTTGATGCAAAGGGAAATCTAATATTTTATGAAAGTAAACTGTAGAAATGCCTCTTTTTTTTTTCCAGCACACACAAAATAAGGCATGTATCTTCCTTTCTTGTGAAACCTCAGTGTTGTTGGCGAGTATTATCAGCTAAGTTTGTATGCATATAAGAAATAATTGAGCAAGACTCACGGTGGTGGAATTGCACAAAGACAAATACTGGAACAAACACGTTGTGTTCCAAAAATCAACGGAGAGCACTAAATGTGAGAGTTTACATACTGCATTAGAAGCCCAAGTTCCTTCACTGCTGTAACACAGAACCACCTCTGTGACTCAAAAAACTGAGAGCTATTAATTCAAATGGAAAATCAGCCACCTCTCAAGATGTTTCATACACAATTATGAAATACTTTACAATGTAAGACTTAAAGAATGGACTGTATTACCATATACTTTTCTACAGTGTTGTAATTAATGCTAACAGTAAAAACAAGGGAGAGAGGAACTCAAGATGCTCTAAGCCAGTCAGCTTAATTTCAATTCCCAGAAAAACACTGGAGATAATCATGCTAACTTGTACAACACAGAAAAAAGAACAAGAAATGAATCATCATCATTATGACTGGTCCACAAAACATCATGACAAATGATAAAGTTTTTTTTGCATAGTAACGTAAGAGGCTTCAGAGGGAGGAAAGCAGAAGCAACAGATGTATTACAACTTTAATGCTTTTAGCAAAGGCTTATACAACTCACAAGCAAACTGTTAAATCTGTCTAAATCAAACTACTTAATGGATGCGAAACTGGTCGGAAAAGCAGTTCCCTGTCAAAGCAGAAGACTACTTCAGGTGAAGTCCTGCAAGGCACCAGTAGCTCTAGTTCTGTTCAACACGTGTGCTAACATGGAGCACTGTGGCGATGCTATTGCCTTCGTGGACAACAAGAAGCTGCGATGAACCGAAACACAGCAGAGCACAGAGTAAAAATTCAGAGCGATCCCAAGCAGAAGAGTCTGGAAATGGGGTACAATTCAGTAAGAACAAAAGCAAGGCACTACGCTCTCGCCAGAACAATTAGCTGCACCAACAGAAGAGCAGGAAAACAACCTTGAGATATGTGGAAGGCATTAAGAGAATCCAGATCTTTAAAGCCTCAGCCGAGTTTCAGCTGAAGTCCCTTTTTGGAACAGAGGAGCCACGAGGGCTTTGAACACGTCCCACACCTCGGACGCAGTCACAGCCCCGTTCAGGGCAGAGCTGGCTGAGCAGCGTCTGCTAAAAATGGTGCTGGAGTAACATTTAATTCCAATAACCAGAGGGCAGGCAGGCACGTTGTTCAGGGTGAAAAAGCTGCATTTGTTACATCTGCTACAAATCACACACTTACCAGGCCAGACCTTCCAGAAAAAAGTATCAAGAGGAGTTTTAAAACAAAAAATACCTGTTATATGAAGAGTAATTAAAACACATATCACAGAAAATGTAGTAGGTATCCACTGAATCAAGCTTCTGCCATAGTACGAGGATGGACACGACTTCTGAACACACAGCTGACAAGTGCAGACGTTGGGCAGCGCTGCCGCGCAAGCACCATCTTACCTAAGGAATGTGCTGCAGTGGTTTTAGAACTAAAAAACCGGCCTAATCCGAGATCTCCCAGCTTCACCACCCCTGTGGCTGTTATAAACACGTTGGCTGGTTTTATGTCTGCAAGAAGAAAAAGGTAAAAGGTCAAAGCCACAAAAGGTTATATGGTTCTAATACTGCAACAGAAACATCGCCCCGAGCGCTCTCTGCACAAAAGAGGCTTGAGCAGAACCGTGTTTCTTTATAGCTTTGATAGGCTCAATCTTCCAAGACTTCAAGCTCTGCACATGCACAAAAAATCAGAGTATACTTCCCAGCACACAAGAAATACCAATGAGGGAAAATGTAGGAAACGGCACAACAGAATAGAGGCGACCTCTAACTGACAGAAATCACAGAAATAAGTCTACTTCTCTCTGCAAATGATTGTTTTCTACAGGAAACTGTACTGCCCACCTTCATCCCCACACACTAATTATTGTCCCACATAGACCGAAATTCTGGGCTCTATACAGCCCAGTTTGTTCATGGAGTGTAACAATTCCTAGAACCCCAGTTTCCCAAGCAGTCATGTCAGGACTTTTTCCTCACTAAACGTGCGAGACTCCAGATTTCAGCCACCAATTTCAGACCCAATTCAGGTACAACTGACAAATTGCATCAGGGGATGTATAAAGGAGCAGAAATGATATAACATTGCTGAAAAAAATACAGTGAAGAATTCATTACTTCAAAGGAGAAAGGAAATAACAAGCAGCAGAGACTTGGTATCGGTGCCTTTTGGGATATTTGCATTTCCTGGGTCAAGTCCTTCACAAAGCATTTCATTTACACTGAAAGAAGCAATGTAATTTCTGGATAGAGCTCAAAGATACAAAAAGTTCTAAGACAAGAGATTCAAAGATAATTAACGAAAATAGAGAACAGGTAATGAAAGTGTGGGACATATTTGTATTAATATTCCAGAAAAACTTGCAAGACAGAAAAACTCTTCTAAACTCTCTAAGGTCACAGCTAATATAATGAAGAGTATTTCTTAGAGCTCACTGTATCCAGTAGTCTCAGCATTTTACTTCTGACACTTTTCTAATGGCAAGTTTGACACTTCTACTTAATATCAGTGTCTGGAATACAAAGCAGCTCATCTTCCTAATACCACACTCACTCCGGACTGAATCCTTTAACAAAGAGGCAGAGAGACAGACGGAGAAATCCATCTTGCAAGCTCCAGCCTCTCTAAACACGCATTGGCTGAACATCAGCATAATTGTTTTTGAATGTAGGCGCTTACTAATTGGAACATTATATTATTATTCAGTGAAAAGAGACTGAATTAATGTTACCTCTGTGCATCACCCTGCGGGAGTGCATGTGTTCGACTGCACTGCATAACTGCACAAAATATTTCCACACCGTCCTTTCCGGGATTAACCGTTTCTGCTTTTTAAAATACTGTGGGAGGAAATAAATAAAAGATCAGTGAAAAAGCAACATATTTGACTCGTTCCTGGACTCGTGTTAGTCAGCTGCAGGTTGCTCAGGTCTTCCAGATCCGCAGCAGAATGACTTTTCTTCTGATTAGCTTTTAACTCCTCCTCTCTGTATGTAAACTTCAATGCAGTTCACTAATTAACAACTATTATGAAAAATACGCTTAAATAGGTTTGACATTTTTGAATGGACACCAATTATAATTAGGATTAATCTCCTTAATTACCTTGCAAAACATATTTGATGCCTCAAAACAACAAATGTCTCCAGTATTTTGCCTGAAGTAACAAAAGATCATTAAAAAAAAAAATCTTGTAAACATTCATTATTGTACAGTCTACTAACAACAACCAGGTAATCTGTTCCCCCTTTTTAAAGGAGGCCAGAGCATCAGTAAAGGACCCGTGTTTCTTCTGTGATCAAGTCGAATAATATATTCTATTTCCTGCATAATAGGAATAGTAAATTAACTGAACTACCTCTAGTGAGACAGAAAGACGCTGCGATCAAGGGACACACGGATCTGGAAAAAGGCCGTTTTGTGCATTTATGCAGCACCAGGCACAGCCCAGTCTGCGTCCAGCGGACCTCGGGGCGCTAATGGCTCTCCGATAGGATAATTGTGAGCATAATGCACACAATATCAAGGAGTGCAGTATAGTGACGGTTCTCTGCAATACCCAAGTCTTCCCGAGCAACTTATTAGAGGAATAAACAACCAGCTGCACACTTGGGTGCAGGCTAAACATCATGTATCTTCAATTGCTCTTTGTCCCTTTTGGAAATGCCCAAGTGCTGCACCTCGCACACAACGTGCCCGCCTCCCGCGAGGCATTCCAGAGCCGCGCTACTTCCGACTGCGGGTCCCTGACTTCACACTGCTTCTTCCTGGGCGAGATACTCAGCTGGTTCTTCGTCCAGAGCACTAACAAAATACACTCCCAGTGCAATTCCAGAGGTTTCAGATTTATCCCTCATCCTTTGATGCACAAGGTGTCACTGGATAACGACTATTTCTGGAACGCTGCACACCCTTCTAGCACGTTACAACTGCATTTCTTTTGCATTGTACCCGTGAGAATTTCCATCAGCAGCGTGCAAGAGCAAGAATAAAGGAAGGGAATTGGTTGTTGCCCCTTTCTGCATCTTGTGCTTTTTCCTCTCAGTACAGACATCGGATGTCCGTTGTCACATTTTATGTTTTATGTGAAATGCTGTTACTGGTTCATGTTTGACTCAAGTAATGGCAAATTTTCTTTCGCATATCAGCTGCGAAGGGGCACGACTGTGCAATTCCCCAGGCAGCAAATCTGACAGATTGCAACAGTTTCAACCCAAAACTTGATAGAGAGCACAGCGGAATTACAGAGGGTGAGGGATAAAGTGTGATATACACAATAAAATTATTTAATTCTCATTGAAGTATTTAAGAGTGGATGTGCAAGACCACAAGTGATAATTTTCTAAATGTCATGTCCAACAATATTCACTTGACATTTACAAGAAAGTCCCAACTCTCTGGCGGGTTATCCTGCAGCACTCTCACACCAGCTTTACAATACCTTGTAAACAATGCAGGCACCAGAGGTGTGACAAAGACAGTCCCTGTTTTTATCACTCTCGCCCCTTCAGAGTGTTGTTACTGCTGTTCCTCCCGCCTCACCAAACTGAAAATCCTCACATAAGCCTAAATTCCCACGGGATGGATGGGGTGTGACACAGAGGGGCAAATGCCACTTCTACAGTTAAAGCTATAGTTCGGAGGAGATGTTTGCTCCCCCTTGGTTTTAGTTTTGTTTTTTCTATTAAAAAAGTAGAATTCCAAGATTTGCACCAATTGAAAAACATCATTTCTTTGACCCTGAAAAAAAATCTAGGGCGTCTTCTTCATGTCTGCGACAAACACGTGGGAAAACAGACCAGACTGGGGAGCGCTGGCAGAGGAACGCAAGCGACAGCGCTGTGCAAGTTATCTATCAGGCTAAGAATCCACAAATTATGCTTTGGAAAATGTAACTCCTATTTATAAAGACATAAAAAGTAATTAAAAACAATTAAATAATCAACCCTGATAGCTAAATGAACATATTTATCAGTCGGGAATGTTTCAAAGTAGAAACTGTAAATGACAAAAAAAAGGTGAGTATTTTATATGACAATATTTCACAATGATGTGGATAAAACTTTTTACAAGCTAAGATTTAACAATCAAGCAAAACCCTTGCGGTGCCCCAGGACGATCACAGCCCTAACTCCTGCTCTCACAACCCTCGCTTTTTTTCCATCTTTAACTGCAACTACCAAAAGCCTGAGATAAACTGCAAGTTTCCCAGGACCTGCTGGGAAAAGGGTAAAACATACGAGATGCTACACGAAAACGGAGAAAGAAAAAAATGCCCACGAGCCCTCCCCAGGCTGAGGACAAGCTCTGTCTCCACAACCCTGGTGAGCACAACCAAGACCCCGAACCGTGGCTGCCGGAGGTGGCTGCCGTCGGAGCGGGTCACCCACCCACATGCGTGGCTTCCGTCACCGCCAGCTCGTCCCGCGGGATCGGGGCTGACCCCACCACTGCTCCTGCTATTGAGGGGCTGTGGGGTGAGGCTGTATCTGGAATTTTGGGGCTGTCCCCAGGAAGGGCTCTGCCAACCGCCAGTCCCCAGTCGCTCGCCCAGGGGGACTCTCCTGTGAGATGGAGCAGATTTTCATGGATACTGTAAATTTAGCCGCTGACTATGGACTAAACGGATAACTTGTTTGACAGCCTTTGGCCTAGTGCCTCATAGCTCTGCTGGCAAAGAAAACAAATCTGTTAATAAGATATTTTAACTGTGACAACAAGGAGGAGGAGAACTTTCCAAACATTCATTTATGATAATTACAGAATAATGATGGCAAAAAAAAACAGGTAAAACATGGAGAGAAGGTTGAGAGTGCTAACAAACATGATATAACACATCTGTTCTCACAAGGGATGTATGTCTAAAGATTAACATGTCAAAGAAAATATAAAAGCAGGTGGTAACAGCTTAACTAAAGCTGGTTTGTAGCAATACAAGTATTCCTAAGAGCAACATAAGAGAAGAACAAGTACTTGAAACATTTTCTCAAAACCAAATCCCCATTGCAAAGGAAGTCAATACGCTTCCTTGAACGTCTTCGGAGTGGCAGACAGGCTGCGTGAACAGTGAATCTAACAACAATTACAGGTCCCCATCAATCACAGCCTGGATAAATCGACCTTCCAAATAACACACGTGTCCCACCAAGCCACAGAGGTTTGCTCCCTTCCAACGCAGCGACCAGAAACACGCGGCACGGTCTGACGTATTTCAAACGCCCCCGGACACTCGCTTTTCCAACGGACACGTCCTTACCTTAATCATCTGAGAGAGATCACCAGCGTCAGCCAGTTCCAGGACAATGTTAAGTTCATTGTCTTCAATAAAAGAATCCAAATACTTAATTATATTGGGGTGGTTCAGTTGCTGCAATAGAGGGAACGCAAGAAGGAAATTTGTAACGCTGTAGTAACGATAACTCCAGGATACAACACCTGTACCCCCTTTGTAACCATTACACAAAACGGGTCATAAGAGGGGCAACTACAAACTGTGCTCTGGGTTATCACAGACAGAAATCCTGCAAGAAAAGTCATTTATCGCAAGCGCAGCATAATAGAATTGTCTTGAGTAAAGACTGCCCAAAACAGGGTGAAACTGCTTTTAAACTTTTCGTGAGTTTACAACAGGAAAGGCTATGTCCCAAAAGAAACTTTGTTAAGAAATAACTGATTTTTTTCCCCTCCATTAAATACAAACAAAGCCCCCAACCACTGATTACAGTACTCCCCGACGTCTCTTTGCCCCTTAAAATAAAAACAAAATTAAATTAAAATTTTGATGGAGCAAAGTAACACACAAATTGCATACAGCAGTATTGTTCTGATTATTTACGCTTGCATCTTCACCAATTACTTTTTTCATTTCAGTATAGCTTTTTCTTACATTCACAACTGGTATTTTAGGTGTTTGGGTTTTTTTCTTAAGAATTTGCATCTCCTCAGATTGCTACGCTTTACTCACAGGACTAAATTAAGAAACAGGCTCGACAAATTAAAATTTCTGTTTTAATATTTTATGTCTGAATTTCTTAAAGTGGAAAACTGTAATTGCTTAGAAGATAATGCAGTACCTCAGTCTCTCTATTCACTCTGTTTTCCTCATTTCGCATTAGATTATCTTTCTCTCGTGTTCTTAGAAAGGCTGTAAATTCGGCAACTACCGAAGTGAGCATTTCATCTAGCACACAGCTGTGACTCAACCTGTCTATTCCAGGGGTTACAAAGCCAAAAGAAACACTGTTATGATCCATCATGCTAATCACTCCTCTCTGCATGCACATTAGGGGATAGATTCTCCTCCGCGATGCCTCGACACTAGCGCGCATTAGCGCTAATGGGATCCATGTGCAGGCATCAGGAGAAGAACATTCCCACAAGACGAAGCCTTAAGTAAATAAATTTAATAGGCCACCATTTCTGTTGAAATTTCTTTTAAATGTCTGCTCTCAGGTACATCAATCAAAGACCAACTTCCAGCCAAGAAAGCACCAAAACCACGAGCAGAACAGCCACTGACACCTAATGCATCAGGGCCAACCCCCACGAGCGCCGGCTGTCCAAACAAACTTCTGCTAAGCCTTGGCACCACGTGCCAATAAAACACAACATCAAACTGTGACGACTGTGACAAGGAACGAAGCCTGCACACCTCTGGAGAGGCGTAACAAACCCCAACTCTCAGACCCAAGCACTACTTAACTGATACAAAGATTTAAAATATCTTTTTTGTGACAGAGTGGGTACATACTTTCTACTGATGGTTTGTATTGATTTGAAGAAACTCAAAGAGGGACGTTTCTTCCGTACGATGAAGATGCACAAAATTAGAAGCAAACGAGTGAAGCACTCCTGCCACCATGCTGACCTCTGGGATGGCTCTGCTGATGAGCAGATCTCCGAGGATGCCCATTTCAGCAGCAGGAGCTGCCACCAGCGCTGAGCAGAGGGACGAGCGCTCCAGGAGGAGCTCACGAGACTTCTCTGCTGGCAAGCACAGCAGACTGCCTGCGACCCGGTGGGAATGCAGATGTGTGTGGTTTTCCTACCATTCATTCCACTGACCTTCCAACTTGCTGTTTTCCCTGAACAGCCAGGTAGACCGCTCTGGATAAGCCAAACTTCCATTCTCCACTCTCCCTTTTGTTAATCTGATTTTAAACAAATATATTGACTCTGCAGTTATTTTTATAATTACCGTATTTGTCTGCGGCATGGAAAAGACTATCTGAAATTTCTTTCATCAGAAGGAAAGTATATTCACAAATCCTTAAATGCACAAAAGATTACAAACACTTTATCCTGGGTTGATGACACTTCCTATTTCTCTAAGGCACCCTGGATCCGACGGCAGTTAATGGCTCATGTGGATGCGCAGGGCGCCGCCGGCAGAGGCAGGAGGGGACAGCCACCGCCGCGCCAGCGAGCGTGGGGCAGCCCAGCGCTGATTACGGCCGCGTTACTGAGCTGCTTCACCCAAACCTGTTAGCCAGGGTTACACAGAAAGTAACCTGCAGTTTGGTTCGGCTTTGTTACATTTTGAATAGTTATAATTCATGTAGAAACTGCAAAAAAACCCCTTTGTTCCCATGGTCACATAGAAGTCTGATTTAAAAAGACCAAGTATTATTTTGACAGGAATGGACCACACTAAGTCTGTGTAATTCCTGCACAAATTCCTCAATGGTCCGCATCAAAAATAAAAACAACAAAGCAAGAAAAGCTCTTCGAGCAAGTTGTTTTACTAATAGTCTGTAAACACTTCACACTAGACACCAGTTTACAATTAGCAAGAAAGTTTTAAAAAGATGAATATCCCGTATTACACGGCAGACACCAGAGAGAATTGAAGGCAGATGTGTACTTCCCATCAACGGAGACAAAAAAAGTTAAACTGAGCAAGATCTGAACAGGCTCTGAAATACTGTGCTGAACTGGGTCCCTACACACTTTCCCCCGCCTAGACACAAGAGCAATTATCTTAACTGATAAATTTAGGAAGTGAAAGATATTTTATCTTTTAATATAATGACACTAAACCCGCTGAAATTAAAATTATTGAGAATAAGTCATTCATTTGAGAAAAATACACCTGTCCTACTTTCCTGAAGCTGTGCACACGCTATTATAAAGGAAACCAAAATGTGAAAAGCTCACAACAGAACAAGAAACCCCACGAAATTTCGTAAAAAGCCAGGCCAGAGACCACGCGTACCCCGCAGCAAGAGCTCAAGTCTCACTTTTAAAACTTTTTCCTACTTCCAAGCATGGACTACTCTTCCCCGCGCGGCATAAACGTAACATCTCCCGCCCAGCCCCCAGAAGGGACCCGTACCCTGCTCCGAGGCAGCAGCCCCAAAGTTTGGAAATACGACTTTTCACGACCGTCCCAGCATGGACCTGCGGTTACTTCTGCGAAGCTGTGAGAAGAGGCAGCACGGGAGTGACTGATTGGCAAAAGATGAGTTCCAAATACACTGATTTGACAAATGATCCCTCTTAGGGCACGGAGTGACGCGCACTCCGCTGCCGACGCCGACACGTCAGCCCGGCCCTGCCTGCAGACAAACCTTGGGTGACTCTGCCCAGCTGCCACCAGCAGCGGGTGAGCAAAGACACCGACCAGAATAGCACGGTCAGCCCGAAGTTGGCCATCTCAACTTTGATGGCTTCCTACTTCTTATCTGCTGCTCTTCTCAGAAGCTGAGCTACACACGCCTTGGATAAAACTGAACGGATTTTGTTGGCTCTGACTTAAAACTAGCAGTCGTTTGACGGGAGTGAACTGTAGGCAACATTAAGAAATACATCCCTCTTGCTTCTGTACTACAGAGGGATTCATCAAACTGACTTTTTACTATACTCAGACTTCAGATTCCTCGATGGCACTATGCAACTGTCCTATGAAGTTCAACAATAAATAATAATTAAACTACCAGCACAATAATGTTTTGCATCATAAAGAGCGTATTAGTATGTTTCTGCAGAAACATTCAGCAACTTCTTCTACTCCTCCCTTCAGCCCTAACTAAATGAATTCACTGGAATGTTCCCTAGTCTTCTATGAAATACTGTGCAAAGCAATCCAGTTTAGCAGCCCTGGTTAGTTCAAGGTGGTGTATTCTCTTTCACAGCTCTGCCACTACGGTAACCCCATTTGGGATCTGCTTTTTGGTGAGTTTTCTGCAAGAAGGTAAGTTGCCTCCGGTGATCCCACACAGGCGATGGGAGCTGACCTTCCAGAGTCTCCTGTCACTGTGGGCATTTTATTTTCATTTTCCTCTGACTCTAAGAAATTTGCTTTGAATAAGTCCTGTGCAAGGTTATGACATCTTCTATAACCAGAGTTCAAGACAAAAATGCTTAGATGACCTAGAACCCAAAAACATCATAAATTCTCTTTTTGAATGTTAATGTTGGCATCATTTTTCTCCATGACTTGAGCAACTGGCTCATATTCACGAACCGCTACCTTCCCATTTATCCTGTATGCCATCGCTACAGTCTAGCAAACTCCAGCTTTGTCTACAACTGCATGAGTATAAATCAAAAATTTAAATAGAAATACTGAAAATCACATTTGCAAAATGAATTTTTAATACTTAAAAAAATTAAATTTGACTAGCTAAACTACAGTCTGCTGCATTTACTTATAATAGATTTTAAAGTGCGATACATACATATTTTCTACCAGCAGGTTGAAATACATTACTGAGATGGAAAAAAATCACTAGTTGGTTTAATCATTTAGAAAACACTCTCTGGTTTCAGAGTCTTTTTTTAAACCACAATTTTTCATGCGTGTTATGTATACATATACATACATGAAATGACACACAAACCTTTTTTCCCCATTTGCTAGTTCATTAATTAGGGGTTTTTTTTAAGTGACAAACAAATCAAAACAGAGGGCAGAATTTATGTGTCTCTCTGAAAGAGGAGTACTTGTGGTTTTTCTAATGACAGAAAGATTTTTAATAGACTTCTTAGACGACAGGCAGAAAACTCAATAAAACTAAGCTTTAAGACAAAACTCTTGCACCATGTAGGCATTCTAGCTCGTAAAAGAAACCACCGTCTATGAAGACCATTGCCAGAAAAGGCAAATGACTGTTGCCAATCTGAAAACAATTTTTTTCTCAAAACAAAAAACCTAAAAAGTTTCTTACCTTCAAGAGGTCAATTTCTTTAATGCAATCTTGCCTAGCCTTGGCATCCATCATTTCAAAAATCTTCAGAGACAAAAACATAGATGATGAAAATGAAACAACGACAAAAAAGAACTTGATATTTTAACAAGAAATTGGTCTTTCCTCCCCCAGCTGTATGTCCATCTGAATATCCTCCACCATCGTAAGTATACATAAAATCCTCAGATGAAAGAAAGATCAATATTTTCTTTATTTTGAAACCACTGAAGGGCTAGCAATAGGGTTAAATTAATTTTAGAACCCGTAGGCAATATTCTAAACAGCATGAGAAATAAAGATACTTGTTTGTGAACTTGCTGTTGTGTTTTCAAAACATAGTTTTAGTTACTATTAATTTCACAAGGTAAATAAAAGATAAAATGTTTGTTTTTTTCTTTTAAACAGAGAGATAGCTTCCACCGATTTCTCTGTAATAATTAATAATAATATTGAGTGTTAATATTCATTCTGCAATAATCGTAGTTAAGTCAACAGAAACGAGAGATTAAAGGATCTGTTGAAGGATTAAAGTCAATTTTTTTCGACCAAAACACTGTTCTGAAGACTGCACAATACTTTAAGCCAATTTACAAGTCTATACTGCTTGCATGAAAGTTTTTCAGAAACTCTTCCCAAACTCCGCCAGGAAGGGCCGGCATTTTCCCTTTCATGCTCTTGTGTTCTCATGACTCATCTGTGTCGAGGCGGCAGCGTCCCAGCTGTATGACTATGGCCATGAGGGCCTTGTTCTTCCATATGCATTTAACAGTAATTTAGTGGACCCTTACTATAAAGTAAAGTGTTAAATTAACAATAAATATGAAATTGCACTGCTGCTACATAATTCTGATTTCAAAACATAAATCCACTCCAAGATCACGAGGGATGAAGACCATGTGCTGCAAACAGACTGCACGAAATGGAAATAGGGTCCCATATAGAACACACAGGCTGTATGGACAAGCCAGCCAGAGGACACGACGGAGGGGCCGGCAGGAGCACAGTGGGGCCACTTGGCCTCTTATATCCACGTGTTAACTGAGCACCGTGAAACTAACCTGCCTCACTCAGTATTTGTAATGTTGCTTTGAGACCTTCAGAAACATTTTCCTTTACTCCTTACCTTGAAATAATAAAGTAAGAATAAAACACCTCTAAAACCCGACTGAATAAAATAAGAAAGCAGAGTGTTGGGTTTTTTCAATGTCAAAATATCCAACTAGATCATCCAGTGGTCTCAAACCTTGAACTCTCAATTTACAAACCATTTTATTGCATTATTATTGCTGACAAAAGAACACTGAAAGAGCTATCAGACTCAACATAATCTGTATAAACACTTAAAACATTCCCATTCTACTTACTAAATAAAAGACTTTGAACTTAAATGCTCACCTGAACTTTCTTTAATGCCACAGGTTTTCTGTCCAGGAGACAAGTTGCTTTGTACACTTCGCTGAACTGCCCTCGCCCGATCTTTTTCTCGATCTGAAAATCTGCCAACGTGCAGCGATACGGGTATGACGTTAAATGCCTCTGTTCAAGTCAAAAGAAATTAAATCGATGAACAAGAAAAAACAATGCAAAAATATGAACTTGCATTCCAAATCTGTCTTCTTTATGACTGCAAATTATCAGTTTCTATAAGGAATCATATTATGAGGATAAATAAGGACAAGTAAGGACTGCCCAGCAAGGAAAACAAAGGAATTTGGTGTTGATTTGGTGCACAATGGACAACAGAGTGCTGTGGCTTTCCTTTTCCCAGCTTCCATTTCCTTTGTCCTCTTCAGGCAGTACTGCAGCAGATGGGAAACATCACCCAAACCAGAGCATGAAACTAGTAACAGCTACCAAAACTGTCCAGAACAGAGGTAAGATTGCCAAACGTGCACATACTCCTGCTCTCATTTCTGATGGTGAAGCATTTAGTCCAGGCTGATCAGTCTATAGATAATTCTGACCATAATTACATTCATTCCTAGGAACTGTATTAGTAACACAGGCTGGATTAAGTTAAATGACTTTTTTGAAAAGGAAATAAAGTCTTGCCTTCTGTGTAAGTAACTAATTAGTCCCACACTACTGTCTCCCTAGTTACACACCCTCTCATCACCTCTGCCTGCCCGTGTCACTGGGGAGATGCTGCTGCCTACACTGCTGTGCCATCCCAGGCAAATGCCCAGCCAGGCAGGCACGGCCCAACAGGACCACGTGCTCCATGGACTGGGAACTGCTCCCTAGAGCTGTTTTGGTCTCTTCCGTAATTAACACGACTGCTAACCAGTGTTTAAAAAAGAAATTATGAAAATCAATTACTTAAAGTTGCCATATATAGCCAAGAAGAATAAAACTTCAATGTCCTGAGCCATTTCAGAGTTCCCACTGAAAACCACCAAAAAGCAATCAGACGAGTACACAACCAGCACCGGGGGAAAAGGGCTCCGCAGGGACGCAGCCGTCATTTCCACCTGAATCTTTAGCAGACAACCCCAGGACAAGTGTCCAGAGAGGGCAGGCCAGGAGGGCTGGATGCTGTAAGGAGATGGCTGTTGCTCCCACTGTCATTCCCTCATCCAGAGGGGTGGGCTGGAAGTAAGATTTAAAAGGTAGGTAAAGCTTTCAGTGCAGCATCTTTTGCCAGCACTGCATACAAGACAGTGTGAGGAACTCTTACAGTGTGTATTTATTTTGATGAGTAAGTTTGGGCATTTCTTTGCAACAGAAATAACAACAACTACTATTCAACAAACAATAAAAAGTATCACTCAGACATTTGAAAAAGCTTCCAGATTTCAAGGTGTTTGTGCAACTCTGAACTACAACCACAGTTATTCGGCAGAGGTTTTGTGAGCAAAGTTGTAAAATTCAATGTTTTTAAGAAAACTCACCAATAAAGTCACCTAAATAGCAATTTCTGACCCACAAACTGCATCAGTCAACCAAGAGAAGCTATTTTGAAAGCTGCCACCTTTACAGCATCCGTATCCCAGCAAACGCGCGAGAAATCCCCACAACAAAAGCTATCCTGCTGCAGGCAGTCTCAAGAAAACTCATTATGCTTTATAAATGCTGATGATACAGAGATGCAGCTGTGAATCACAAACCAGACAGTGAAAAGACTATCACGTTTTTTTTGCTGTCATCCTGCCCCTCATCCCCGTGGCAGCGAAAGGCTGTTTGCTGCTGGAGCACTTCCACACCGCTGCCCCGCGTCAGCCGCGGAGAACGTAGGGAGCGCAGAGCTCGGCAGCTACGGAAAGAGGGGACTGTGCTGAACTGAACAGCTCAGACTGTTACGAGCTCCAGAGAAGCCAGAAATGCAATGCCATAACGTCCATCCGGTGCCTGCTAATTCAAGTAGGCACATAACTGGAAATTTAACTCCAGGCCATCATGATCATCAGCTTTCTCAGTTCAAGTTCCCTAAAAGAGCAAATCCACTTGTTTTCAGATGAAATGACACTTTGAGTAATTATTTTTGAAATGCCAAGGCCACAGGTAAATTTTTCCTTCTATCACCATGAGCATTTACATATTCTCATACTATGAGAAACTGTTTTCATTCCTCTAGGCTGAAGAGGACACAATAAAAACTTGTAATTCATGAACAATAACCTACACAAACAAGAAGGCTGCATCAGAGTCTGCAGTTACTTATGAAGGCAAGTCACATAGAAGTAGGAAGTTGATTTCATCAAGTATTTCCTTTAAACAATTTGGGGAGTGTTCCCCTTTTAAGACCACTTTAGTGTCCCCCATAATCAAGCGGAGCCCCGTTACCACCTTATCGCACCGCCGCCGCCGGCTGCCTGTGCTACAAGAGTCTCAGGACTTGTGCTGTGCTTGATGTCACACAGCATTTACAAGCTACAACACAGCAAAATAAAAGCTAAAATGAAGATTCAGGATTTGTTCCTCTAAGTTTACAGTGTATACTGTACAATAAAATGAGAGCATTGTTTCACTGATGAGGAACAAGTAGCCTATGGGTCATCAGATAAAGAGCAGAATATTAAGATAGCACTGCTTTATTATTTACATACATTTCCCTTTAAGTTACTAAATTATCAGTAAGGTAATGGAACATGGGATGAAACGAGGCAAGCAAATATTCAAAGTAATCAGCCCCTGCAGCTTTCTGGTTTTGCAGGGATTTGATAAACAGTAACACAAGAACACTCCTTTCAGAGAGCGCTAACAAAACATTAGTTTATGTGCATTTTGTGTGTGATGAAACCCCCAGAAAAATGCCTGAACACAAGAACTTGTTCAACTTGACTGAGAACTAACCAGGAACGTCTCCAGCTCCTGATTTTTTTTTTATATATGAGCTTCTAAGCAAATTAATTGAGCTGTCCAGTCAAATTGCTTTACCCAGTGAAAGCAAAGGTGTCAGTATATAAAAATACAAACCATTTTGTCCTAATTAAAAACCAGAAAGGAATCGAAGCATTTCCTTAACTGTGAACATGTGCCTCTCGAGCCACACTCTTCTTGAGTATTAAGAAAGTTTGAGCAAAAGCTTTCCTAACTTGAGAGTTAACATTCACAACAGCAGCAGCTTGAATTAGATTTTACGAAGCAGCTACCGCAAAAGTTTCTTTTTAAGGACGAAATCCATGCTGGATGGTATCCATTTGCCCTCATAAATCATTAAACTGTGTGTTTAAGCCAAGAGTGTTTAAGTGTAAATTAATATTTTAAGCTTGTGCCAAGAAACATCTAGCAACTTCTTAACTTGAAAACATAAACAAACGTGGGGCGAGTGACAGGGTGTGAGCGTGTCGGAACCACTTTCGCACGGGTAGCACACGAGGTCTGCCTGCCACGCTGGAGTTAATGCTGGCTGATGACTGGACACCTTAGCTGATATGTTCTGGCATCCTCCAGGACTACAGCTGCACATTTACATATGCAATGACCTAGATTTGCATTTGCTATCACAACCTATCAGACCTAATTAAAGTAATGGAGCTTTCATACAGGCTAGAAGATGTTTGATTACGGTACACACCGGGGAGCACGCTCAGGTTAGACCAAACCGTACCAGAAAGCTCCCTACTGATTGTGGCAGCCCATTTTCCCATACATCTACTGAAAATTAACCTTCTCTTACGCTTTGCTGTACGTAAACGTGAGCAGGTGACTCTTCTAAACACGGTTACAAGGACACGTTTACAATACCGAAGGAATATCCACCTCCTCAGGATGTAGTCTGGCCTTACATACATGTCACGACTTTCGACAAGTGGAACTCCATTTGTTTTCCAGTCCTTCCACATTTAACCACTACAATTTTTCACGAAGCTGTCAAAAAACTACTATCTATTCATTCAAATCAGCCATGATCTTTATTTCTGCAAATCGTAGACTTTTCATATTTGAGTCATGTGTAAAACTAGATACTAGCATCATCTTCAAACCTGTTCACCAAAAACAGATTTTTCTCATTTTCAGGACAGATTTTGCTCAGTGAAGGGTTCAGGTCTGCATGACTACAGGAAAACCAAGCCACTGCCTCCGCAGAACAGGTTTCAAGGTCAATGATGGAGTTTAAATTAAAAAAAAGAAGAAGAAGAAAAAAGGGAGGAAAAAAAAGAAAAACAACGTCTCCAACCACTGGTCCTCCAAAGACACCATGAAAATGGGGCTGTTTGCACACTCCTGTTCCCAGGGCAGCTGTAGGAAGAAGGAGACACTCTAGGAAGAACTAGTTTTGAAACAAAGGCTGTTCTCTTCATCCACACAAGGAAGTCTCATTCTTCTACTGCTCCATTAAAAAAAAAAAAAAGCCAAAGATTGAAGTCAATTCCTTCCACATTCGAATAAAGAGGCCATTCATTTTTAAGAAGAAATACAGAGATTATGCCAAGAACGAACTATTCTGGACAACATCTCTGGCATGCATGTTGTTTTTTAGATGTAATCACTGATGTGAGAGCAACAATTTCAAAAGCTGGCAGAAGTACGCGACGACGGCCCTCGTCACAATACTTAATGGAGAAGTTTGCCAGAACTTTCAGTCTCAAATTTTGAAGTGGTATGAGATTTTCAGCAAAACTAAAAAATTAGTAAGGTTTTAATATTAAAAAAATCCAATTAAATAGAAACTTCAGCTATATTATCCTGCATGCACCTTAACAGATATGCTGCAAGGGTAAGAAAGATTCAGATATGAGATTATAAAGCAACGCAGGCAAACACGGATGATGACAGCATTAGACAATTTCCTTGCTCTACACGTGCTCCTGGTGATGGGATGTTGTTTCTCCTCACGCTTCCAGAGATGCCTGTTACAGGGCTACCAGGGGTGCCTGACCAGGGGCCATTCTCTGAGCACACAAGATTACAAACGTGCCAAAATTTACAGCTGGAAATTTGATACTGTGTCCTCCAAATCCTTCCTACACTGCTACAACCACATGCAGGTAGGACAGCTACCTAACCTGAACATATTTTTTATATTATTTTTAATAATGAGTAGTTCTACAGCTCAGAATTTGTATTTTGGGATAAGGAAGAATAAGAAAATAACCAAGTGTTCTGCAGAAAGACTTTCAATCTCCAGAACAATTAATGTCTGGCCAGTAAACATACCTCTTTTTAATTATTTAAGAGCTGGGGAAAACCTGAATAGTCCTGAGAAAACTGTCCCAGCAGCCTTTCCTGCAGCCTCTAACCTGACGTTTCAGGCAAAGGAGAGTACTGGGAGTCTGCAGACAAAATATCTGTAAAATACTGACGTGGTGAAGAGCAATGCCTGTATGACTGCTTCTCCCAGAGGCACAGAGAAAAATAAGCCTGAAAGAGCTGAAAAAAGTAAGTGTTAACTGCTAATTGCACAATATATAAACCCGGAGTGCTGATGTTAATTACTAATAAAGTCAGTTGTTTTACTGCTGTCTGATTGGCATGTGGAAAACCAACACTTGTCATCATTCTGCACAGATGGCTACAAGGTCACGAGACATTTAGATTATTTGTAATCAACCTAAAAATTGTTAAAGACTGGTTAACCAACAGTTAAAAAGTCAGACACTGTATACAATCTTTAGATGCCAATACAAGCATCTTTCCTGTAGAGCCATGAAGTGAAATATTCTTTAGAAGAGTAAAAACATACTCGCCCAATTAATTTTCTGAAATCTCATTAAAAAATTTAGCCTGACTAAGTCATACACTTCTGACCTGAATTTTAATTATCTTTACCCTGGATGTAAGGGTTTTTTTTCTGATATTTGCAATGCATCATTAATTTTAAAGCAATGGTTTCCTTGCTTCTAAAGTGCATACTTCATCTGACTGACATTTACCATAAACTAATTTCACCTTTAAAAGACATCTGCAGGCGTCGATGGAGAGGCTTCAGCCCTCCAGCCGAACACGTACACATTATAAGCAGTGATTTACTATCAACATCCCTGTTTCAAACCTCTTTATAATGTCCCAAATTATACACTCATCTCCATTCAATAATGCCTACCAGAAAAAAATTTTGCATGCTTTGAGGTTGAAATTCCAGTGTGAATTTATGAGAACACATTAGAACAGACTGATTAAAAAAAGAACTTCTAAGCTCACAAGAGATGAGGAAACTTTTAAAATATGGATTATCCTTCAAACAGGTAGTCAAGTAATTATTGAAAGATACATCAGGTTTTTCAATTTGCGGCTTCAGAACTAGACTACCCAGTCATCATAAAATATCCTTAAATTCTGGGTAACAGGTCAGGTTCAAGTTTGCTGAAGAACTTGGCTTGAATTTCAAAGTTTTAACATCCCTATCAGCAGATATTTGTACTGGTTTATGACAAGGGAAGAGAAATACAAGCTTGAAAATAGCAGACAAAGGTGATACTGACAAAGCAATTAACGGAAATAAGCGAAGCATTTTGGAAAACAATAAATTGAAGTCTTTGCTGCCAGATGACCAGTTCCAACCTAACTTCAACACACAGACCAAAGTGAAGCCACCACGAGCAGCTCTGCTGCTAACCTGTGTGAGTATATAAAAGGGTTGTTTAAAAGTGAGTTATTATGTTTCTATAGTACAAAAACTAGGTCAAAAATTATAGCTCTGTATTTTTATATCACTGATTTACTCCTAAATAACTTCTACTGCTTATTACTATAAACACCAAATAATCCGGAGACTTAAATAATTGACACTTTCACTCTGGAACATTACTAGGAAATGTTCTGTCTCTTGCTGATGAACTTCAGCTGGGTAACGCTGGGCAGGTAAGGGAGCCAGCAGCTAAACTCTAATTTTATTGGGCTTTTTTAATATTTATATATTCACTTACTCTAATTAGAATACTTCTAAATACGAAGCATTGCTCAAAAGTGTCACCTTACTAAACCATAGTAGGTAAAGACAGACAGAAGAGCTCGATACGCTGACTCTAGCTCTGCACTAACTCGTATGAAACAGAAATAACACTCTGTCAGAAAAAAAACCCCAAAACAACAACCTTTAGGAAGCAGCATAATTACAGGAGAAGTTTCTGCTGGAGGAGCACACTGCTGCTCTGGTCTTTTGGGGGGTGACCCAGTAGTTTTGAACGAAAGGGCTGGAAGGAAGGGGAGGCCATTCCATACGGAAAACCCTCCTCATTTGAAACACTAGAAGCTCAAGTTCTGCCTTTTCTGCTTAAGCTTTTATCTTTGCTATGCATTACTTTTCTTGTAAGACAAGTTTGGTCCATTTTTCTTTCCCAAACCTCTCTCTTCCACAAGCTATTATATAGCTTATCTGCATTACTTATATCTTCAGAAGAAAGAAATGATGTAATTTTGGATTCTTCAGGTAATAGGCACCAGAAAACTGAAAATGATATATAATTATATTCCTGCAAAATGGAAAATCAGAAATATGTAATAAGCTATCATATCGTGCCACCAATGTAAGGCGGCCTGCCCTCTAAATGGTACAATTTTTGTTAATTTCTAAACTGATCTTGCTAAGGAGAGGCATTTTTTTTTTTTTCTATTCGCTGGTAGACTGTATACTTTTGTTATTCAACTTTTTTTTTAAATATTATTTTTACAGTAAAAACAAAAGAAAGTCTTTCTGCAATCCTCATTCCAAACGAGGTCATTCTCAGAACAGTTAATATACTCAGACCTCCATTAACTCAACTCAGATATTAACAGAGTTGAGGGGAGGTTCCACTGAACAATGACCATACAGCAAAATGAGCCCACTCAGCATCAGCATAACAGCAGAACATAGATTATTAGCTACTAATTACACTTAACTATGTCATTACAAATTCTAACATGTGCTCCAAGATGCCATGAATGTATCTGCTGCACAGGAACACTTCCTAATCTTGTTCATGAAATAATTACAGGGGCTCTATCCTGCCAAATGAGGCAGTAATTAACCCTAATTGCTCAAAATGCAACTGGCTAATTCTAGGAGATTAATCAAGGGGATTCAATTATTATTAAATGACTTAATATGACAAATTGCCACATTAGGAGAGGGGGGGGCTTTGCTCCATACGATGTTACTTTCCCAGCAGCGCTGCGTAAGATATGGTCACTGTTGTATTTTATACCCTGGGTTTTTGCAAATCCCATACTGTGTTTTCCTACAGCTTTCCTAACGGCCAGTTCTCGTTCAAGGAACCCTGGTCCCCACCGGACCGCACCTCTGGAATGACAAATGAACACACACAGCCCCCTCCCCAAGGTACCGCGGTACCACAGTTGCAAGAGTTGTCTTTCTGACAGTTTTTCCACGGTGCTTTGTTCACTCCTCACAATATGTGTAGGTAAAACTTCATCACTGATAAACAAACAGCGTGAAAAGGCGAACAGCCAGAATTCCCAAAACACAAGTATTCGGATTACCGTATCGGCACTGCTTTGAACACAGGACTAACCCTTGTTTTAGCCCAATGCTGCAGGAAGGCAGAGAAGAGAGATATGAGCCACTGTAGTGAAACTTGATCATAGCAGAAACAAAATACTTTTACGAGAGAGATTCCAGAGACCCACAGGAAACGAAGTCAGAGTCTACAGTTTCATGTAGAATTAACTTTTTCTTGTATTTGGTAATTATCTCTTCAGTATTTATTATTAAACTATAAAAGGATACATTTATTCACTTACATCATCAACTGCTTTTCTTTGGCCTTTTCTTCAAGGAATCAAAGAGAAGAGAAAGCCAACACAATACATGTTTTTATAGGATGATTTAAAAATCCTTGCTTTAAGCAAAATTCAAAGTATTTCCTTTTTCTCTTATTATCATCAAAAAACTAGATTCAGGAAACTGGCTGGCAGAATCCCAAACTGGATATACCCTAAAACTGCTATAACAGCACTATAAACAAGAGAAGGGAAAAAAGAAAAGGCTAAATGCCAAGAAACCTATAGACCTTTACGAACGGACAGGAAGCAAACAGAGAAGGCGAAAGGCTGACGAGCTCCGCGCGCTCACCTGAGGATCGTGCTGATATTCCTGCCCCGGCAGCTTGCAGAGAGGGTTGTTCTGGTCCCCGAGGTGATGCGGATGGTTATGCTGCCCTTCCATGGTGTCATACCAAACTCTGTCTCACAGTTCTGCTGCAGATAAAAGAAAAGGGAGAGAGAAGTCTCATCGCTGTCCATCCAGCGCTGAAAGCAAGAAACTCTTTTTGGGGGTGTGCCTACACGAGGTTGTACATCAGGACCGAATCCTCCCCCTTCTCCCTCGGATTGACTCCTGCACACAATTCTCAAGAGAAAGAAAAGCCTCATCTACCACCAGCCCCAGAGGAGCTCAGCTCAGCAGTGACAGACCAGAACGCACCCGCTGCCACCTGCGAGCTGAAAGGACACAGCAACAGTTCAAACACACCCACGCGCTCCTGAGATTACGAAACAAAAATGCCAGTGCCACAAATATTACTGATATCATTTCAGAATAAGCAAAATTGCAGAAGAGGGCTTTATTTGGTCAGTGGCACGTTATCCACAAAAGGCACTGCTTTTAGCAACCGCAAGAGCGGCGTTACTTCCCCTACAACTCCTGAACCCAGACAATCACCAACGGTACCCAGTGGACAATTCCAGAAAGGCTAGCATGTTTCCATCTGTAAAACAGAAATGACAAAGAGTCCAACCAGACAGCTGTAAGCCTTCTTTGGCCAGGGACAAGCTAGAAGTGTAGCTTTACCATCACCTTCTTCCTCATCCCGAATTTAAAAGTTTTCTAATATAGAAATCATATTAGAGTCAACGAGATCAAAGTGTTCTTCTAGGAACAAACAAACAAGGGAAAATTCCATGAATGAATTTGCTCCAGTTCTACCTCCAGCAATTACTAAGCAGAGTTGTCCAGCAGAATTTCCTACAAATTACAGAAATTAAAAGCATGCAGTGTTGGATAAGAGAATCTATCAAAAGTTACTGGATACAGAGTTTACTGTAAGGAGGCAAAAATAAATTCACTATCACTGTTTCCAATGATCCTTCACTTTCATTTTAAAATTACCCTTCACCCTATAGAGACGAATTTAGTCTCCCCTCCCTTTAAGTGCAAAGATCTTGTTTGTGAAGTTTTGAGTCACAACACAAAACAAAACTTAACCTTCAGATATGCTGGTAGCACAGCTGGTGAAGAGCTGCGAAATCCAGCACACGTAACATAAAACCTCTACACACCACATCTTGGGTCTGCCTTGAATCAAATAATCTCACAGCATGACAAGACGAGCCTTATTTTGAGCAATATTATAAAACCAAGCAAAAGCTTGTGGGTAACAAGAAGGATGAAGAGATACAAGTACTTGGGTGAGAGGGCTCAAAAAAAGAGGTTATAACCAACCATAACACCAACCAATTAGAAGCGCTTGGACGCGTGGTAGTCGGGTTTCATTTTTCAGAATTTAAAAAAAAAATATAAGAGAAAGAGAAAAAAAAAAATCAAAAAGTAAAACTCCTATGATTGTTGAACGAGGCACAGGAACTTATTTCCCCAACTGGATGTACCAGACTTACTACGTAAATAGGATGCTGGTCGTTTGGAAACACTGCCCGTGTCCAACGCACAGCAGCGTGGGTACGACTGCGCGTGCCCGCTGCGCAGGAATACCGCCGTCCTCCGCCCGTGTGGGTACCACTGCGCTGCCCCAGCGCCAGGATGTGCCACTCCTGCCCAAGAGCCCAGCCCTGATGCCGACACCACTCTAAGTGGTTTCCACTCTCTCCTCTCTCCGACGCTGCGGATTCCAGGCCAGCACAATGCAGTAATCCGAAGTGATAGTCTGCTCACCTTCAAAAACCGTCCCGTAAAGTTGTGAAGAGCTGCCCGTCAGGCAGCTGAGACATTCCTGGTGCTGGAACAACAATGTGATCCCAGATCAACCAACCCTCCTCTGGCAAAGCTCTGCACGGCTTTCGGGAACGCTGTAGTAAACAGTACCGGGGCAGCTACGGGCTTCTGGCCGAACGCCTGCCAGACACATCTGCTCTTTGCAGCAGTACAAGGCACTGGGCATATCCATATTTTCTAGCCCTTCTAGGAAACAAAACCCATACTTGAACTGTTGGCATCGCCGTGTCTGAGCCTGACTCGGGGACAAATCCTGGTGATTGTATCAGCTATTCAGGGCACACTCGGAGCGGATCGCAGTGCCTCGTGCTCCATGCCAGTTCTGGGGTCAGAAAGAACTGACCCCAGTTCTTGCTCCATGCCAGTGCTCTGGCCCTGAGAGCAACGCCAGCCCTCAAAATAAATTCACAGCATATACAGAACAGGCACAATAAATACGTCCTTTCCCCACGACGGACTGTATGCAGGTTTTTTGGGCTTATTTAATAAAGTTATTCATAGCTACTTATTCGTTATCCACACACACTCCAGGTAACATGGCATTGAGAGTCGTATTTTCGCTGTCTTTAGCCACGACGGAAGTGTAACGGTGACAAGGGGAGATTCGGTGGCCAACATAAGCATTTTCAGAAACTTGTTTCAAGAGTTTTGGCAAGTATTCACTCACTGAAAGAGCTGAGCCCGACCTCATTAGTGTATTAATAGTGCACGCCTGGCACTCGGGCAATGACTAACTCTTCATTTAAAATACAACGGTATTTTAAATATTTGGGGGAGTGGGAGAGAAAATATGATGCATAAGAATTTCTGTAGCAAGTTGTGCTTGGTTCTTTCAACAGTTGCCAGTGAAACAAGCCTTTAGCTCCGGCAGACCTTTCCCAACACCAGCTATCCTAGCACGTGCACGCGCAGTAGCGGGGAGAAAGCAGAGAAAAGGCTCTGAAGCAAATGAACTTTCCTCTAACAAATACTCACTGGAAAGGAGTTGTGAGAGCTGGAGTACCTGCTGCATATAAACAGGCTAACGCACGAGTTGCTCTCAATAAAAAGTTTTTCAAAGTTGGTGCTATGAAACTCCAGTGGGAGAAGGATATCACTATTAGCACGAAGAAGTTTGATTTTAAAGATTCTTTCAGTATTGCATATCTGTAGGTTTATTAGTAACCAGGTGAATAGTTAAAAAAATAAAAATACGTCTCTTAATATCAACATTAAACTGTCCTATGAAATTTCTACCTTACATTACATTGCCAGAACTATCTTAATTATTTTATTATTCATGATTTGAACCAAGACTGTTTACTAGAAGCCAGAACATAACACACATTCTTTCTCTCCTAAGTTCACAAGCACGGAGAAAACACCGCTAACTGCTCGGGACCACGGGCTATCGACAGCCTCTCTGCTCACCACTTATCTCCAAAGGAATTCAGAAATTTCACATTTACAGCCTCGAGATAAAAGGCACGTCCAGGAAGTGTCATGTGAAATATCTGTAGCCTAACACTGATCAAACATCACATCTACTGCATCCTGCCTTCGGAAAGGACTGAAGCCCAGAAAGAGAAAAGGGAGTTCTTTGTGACGACAAGAACCCGAGCCACCTGACATACACAGATCTGGGACATTCCTAAGAGAACCGTAACTTCCCAGCTGCCACAAGGAAACTCAAGGTGCCAGCACTCACCCTGAGGGATTAGACAATGGGAAGACAATTAACAGCGCAGCATGTAGGGGATGTACCAGGCCGAGTATTCGGGTTTGGTCGCTGTTTGTTTAAGCCACTACAGCTGGAAGCAAAGGAGGAGTAAGAACAAAATATCAGCTTTGAAAAGAGATACGGCACAGCTCACATGACACCAGCTCTGAGCCCGCTGACACCTACGGGACAGCGTGTCCCGCTCCAAGCTGTCAGCTCGGCTATTCTTGGGCTTCGGGCGAGCACATGTCAGAGGTAGACTGGAAGGGGGATCCCCAGGAAGGGGCTTCATGGAGGGTCTTCAAATAGCAGCCAACAACACGAAGGCACTTCATTAGGTCAAAAAAAGGTACACCAATTGCACGGAGTCGTAAGTCTACAAAATTCTACGAGATTTTAGACTTTTCTAGAAAGAAAATCTCAAACTGCAAAACAAATATTGCAATTACACTTTTAAACACGAAAACACTAAGCCAAGACCATGACAGTGTCCGATACAACCACCTAAAACCAGGGACTTGCACCCCGATTCCAGATACTCGCGCTCTCCCGAGGAAGTGACCAGCTTTGAGCTACAGTTTACTAACCCCGAAGTGAGTTTGGACATCAGCTGCAACACGTTACACAGGAGTCATTCCAGACTACTGAAGAAAACCGTAAGAGATAAGAAATGTTCAAATTTGTTTAGCCACCGCCTACTCCATCCCTCCATTCAGGCTAAATAATCTGTGTGATAAGTAAGTTATCTCAAGGAATTCAAAAATTACCATGAAACTCTCACTTGTAATTAACACAAGCGTTTTAATGAGATACAGCATGCCAAAAGCCACATCCTTCATTCCTTTGAAAAAGGAACAATCTTTTCCAAGTTACTCGAATGAGCTCCCAGCTGCCCCCTCGCTCCAGCTACAGGAGCGCGGACGGAAGCGCCTCATGCCAAGAGGAGCTGTTTCTGCACACGCATCTCCTGCACGTTGACACCACCGCAGTAAAAAGACTGAACTATGGAACATTTCAGCTTAGTTAAAGCATGTGATGCCTCGTTAGCTGATGGTGATATTAATAGGGAATGAATTTCCCTTTAATCATTTTTTTAAGTAGTCATCTAAAATGCAACACTTAATTCACCAACATCTAGAATGTCTAAACCAAAGTTCTGTCTCCCCACCTAGTTCAGTCTCTGACCTGCATGAGAAGTGGGAAAAAAATAAATCTCCTATCCTGGTGTATTTCAGGATGTAACTTTACTAACAACTGGACCAAGATCAACAAATTTACTTTTCATGTCACTTCCCAGCAACAGCGTCATTGCCGCAGTATAGCATCAAAGAAATCAAACAGGGAAGAAAAAAAAATAAACGTAAACACAAAACCAAGCAGTGCCGACAGCGCTCCACATTCGCTCCCATTTCCTTATTATCAAATGGGGGAGGGCTGAGGGAGGAGCAGCTGCAGACAAATAATTGAAGATTTTTTAATCTGTTTAAACAGTCAAAGACAATAGTAGGAAATAAGTCCA